AGTGAGAAAGTGATTTAAGAGTCACACCCTTGGGGCACGACTGGGATTGGGAAGCCAGGCAACCAGTTTGCTTGGTACTACATTACAGGAGTGACAAAGGGAAGGTGTGCAGAAGACAAAGGCTGAGATACGCACTGATGGCCATAGAGACAGGTGCATGCATGCAGAGTTCAGGCTTGGAAAGCCTGAAAATAGCTGCCTGGCAGTGGAAGGAGCAAGGTGAGTTTATGCAGATTCACCCAGGCAGAAAGGGGGACTAGACGTGCTGAGTGACACAGACTAGGAGGAGGCAGCCGAGAGAGGGACAAGTCACCAAGATGCAGAGACACATGTAGACAGGGAGACCTGCACAGAGACAGGGCTAGACATAGAGAGGCGAAAACGTGAGCCAGAGAGACTCAGGAAGAGCTGAGGCACAGGGATGAGCCAAGAGCCTGAGGAGGCTCAGGGAGGCACAGGGGAGGCAGGCAGGCCTACTGGTGTCCATTGAAAGCCAGTCACTCTTCCAGATCATTCTGGGCCCCAGAAGATGTGGTGGAAAGACAAATACAGTTCGGTTCTTAGTCTGTCTGGTACCAACGGATTGAGAAAAGAGGGGGAAGGGACAAAATGAGGACTCTTACCTGGGGAGAGGCTTGTCAGTGACCACCTAGGATTCCAGCCCTCTGGCCTCACATAGACCTGGGCCAGCAGCTCAGTCCGATTATAGTTAAAAATGCTAAAAAGCTCCAGACCTCTTGCCCATCCACCCCTCCATACTCCACCCTAAGGTCCTGCCTCCCCAAGGCTCTTTTTCCCCCTTCTCCCTTAAATCTCTCACTCTTCCTTTCTCATCCCCTGGGAGCAAGTATGTGCTCCCTGTTCAGCCACTGGCTGGGAGGAAGGGGCTCCTTGCCCCATGAAACCCCCTTCCCTCCCAAGCCTACCTGGCCTGGCCTCTTGGAGCTACCCTTCCATGCCTCCCTGGTGGGAGCTCATGAACATCAAGGAGAGGTGGCCAGGCTGTGTGCATAGCATTGAACTCCCCACACCCACCCCACCCCACCAAGCTTGCTTGTCTTTCCCAGACACCTGCATAGGGCAGCAGGGCAAGGGGAGGGGCACAAGGAGCTGATGTGAACCTGGCCCCATTTCAAATGAAATCTGCCTTGGCTTACAAAGAAATCTCGGGAAAGGCGTCTCAGGGCCCCTTGTGCAAGTAGCAGGCCCAGGAATTCCTTGACTCGCATCCAAGCCTCCCCCAGCCCCTTCTTGGCCTTTCTCTCTGCTCATTACCCATCCACACCATCCACCCACACCCACCACCAACAAAGAGGTCACTGCCAAAGGGGCCCTGGGAAGGGGGACCTCGCGAAGGGACAGATCAGGGTGGAGTTAGGGCTGTTTACCCACACCCAAGTTCCCCTTAGCTCATCTGCATTCCCAGGCAAGGGCCAGGGAAAAGCCAAAAGCATTCAGCCACACACTGCTGAGAATGAGGAAGAAAGGGAAGCTCTTAACTCTATGTGGGAGATAGTGTGAGGTGAGGCAGCCAGGAGAAGGGGACAGCCCTTTCCTTTGAACAGCCTCAGCTGAGATGGCAGGAGGCTGTGGGAGAAGGGACGAGCTGGCTTTGCTGGCTGGGTTGGACACCCAGGAGGAGGGAGGGAGGCTAGGATGTCTCCCTGTGGGGCCCTGAACTCTGGCAGGGCCTGCTGTGCCTCCCTCAGATCAGTTCCTTGCATTTACAGGGAAAACACTTGGCAGTAAGTCTCTTCGCTCCTTCTGAGTTATTTGGGGTGCCCTGGCAATGTTGGGCACACAGCAGGTGCTTAATAAAGGCTGACTCGATTCTGGGTGGAGCTCTCCAGGCCAAAACTGGAGGCCTCTCAAATCAGACTCCTCCCCCTTGGCTGCCATCACCCAAGTCGGGGTGGGGATAAGATGGAGGGGCAGGTCCAGAGCACCCAAGTCTCTGGCCTTGACCCCCTGCCTGGAAGCCCCACAGCATGCCTTTGCGTGAGGAGCTGAGCTCTCCAGCCGTGTCTAGGACCTTGAGACTGGAAGTTTATTTTGAGATTTGAAGCTCCAAAGTGGCAGATCCCAGAAAACCTCTTCTCTGGCTCCGTTTTTGTTCTCTAGTTAAGTGGCTGAGTGCAGCTCTTGCAGTCAGCTGCCTCCTGCAGCCTGGGGTTCCTCTGGGGAGCTGAGGACTCAGAGAGGAGGGGAGAAAGAAGCAGCAAGGCCCCATCCTGGGCTGCCTGTGTTACGGGCTCATCAGCCTTGGGGAGGATCTTCTCCCCTCACCTCATTCCTTCCCTCTCGGAGCTGGTGATGTTTCTGGGGGCCCCCTCGGCTCAGAAATGTGCTTTAAGAGCTGAGCATCTATGTTGTGCCAAGACACGGTCCCACTTTAACAAGGAAGACAGCTGAAGCCAAAGAAGGGGCCTCCAAAGTGAATTTGGGGCCATGTGTACGAGTCCACCCAAGGTTAAGGCTGATGTGATCAATTCCAGCTCCCCGCCCTGTGACCCTGAGCCCATATGGAGCAACAAACACATAGGGCGGGAGTCACACCCAGGTCTCAACACACAGGGGAGTCTGGGAGGGGCTGCTGGAGTCCAGAACCTAGTGTGGGACCGCACTGGGTGGAGGTGAGAGAGTGGTCCAAGAAAAGGGGCCAAGCAAGGAAGGAGCCTGGGCCCACTGGTCTCCCACCTGCCCCAGTTAGGGAGCTCCTCACGGCGGCTGTGCTTTGAGCCAACTAGAGCCTATCAGAGAGAGAGAGAGAGAGAGAAAGAGAGAGAGAGAGAGAGAGAGAGAGAAAGAGAGAGAGAGAGAAGGAGAAGGGACCGAGGGCCAGTTGGCATGTTGCTCCTGTGTGGTCTTTGCATTCAGCCCTCTCCCACTCCCATCCAAATCTTGCCCAGCCTCTGCTTTCCACCGCCACCCCACGGGCACCTTGTCCCCTCCCCCACTTGGCTCACCATTCTTGATCTTTCTGACCTCCTCTCCTTCCTAGCTCACTCAGCTCCAGCCAGCTGGCCCCTCATTAACCACTGCAGACAGAGCCAGGCCCTGCCGGGAGGCTCTCTATCCCAGCTCTTCCCTCTGCTTGGGATGTCCAGCCCCAAGGTCCCGCCTGGCCTGTTTCCTAGTCTCCTCCAAATCTGGGCTTGGTGAAGCCCACCCTGATTGTGACCCACCACCCTGACTCTCTCCCACCCTCCCACACTCTTGAGTGCGCTCTGCTCCACGAGGGCAGGACTTGTCAGTTTCCTGCCTGGCAGCACCACCCTAACCCGGGGTGGGGAAGTCATACAACAGGCACACAGCCTCTATATCACACGAGCCAGCGGAGAGGGAAGAAAGGTCCTTCTGAATGCATCTCCTGCTGGCTGTCAGCTGAGTCCTGTGGCTCATGCTGTCCCCAGCGACCAGGGGCTGACAGTGAAGGAGGTGCGGGTGGGTGGTTCCCAGGGCGGCTATTCGCTCCAGGATCTTCTAGCTCAGTCAAGTCGCAGCAAAGGCCAGAAAGACGCCTGGAGGAAACTGAGGCTGAGATGGGGTGGGGGCTAGACCCTAGATAAACTGGCGCTGGGAAGGCCCAGGGTTTTCAGAGGAATTTCCACCTCTCAGTAAGCGCCCCGCCCCCACGGGCTCCACCTGCCAGCTTGGGTGAAAGGAGGCACGCAGGAGTCGCCCCTTCAGCAGGCAGCACCTCCCCACCCCTTCTCGGGGGCCCACGGGCAGCGGCAGAGGGAGGGGAGGCTGCAGTGAGCAGGAAGGGTGGATAGCGAAGGAGCGAAAAGGCCGCCGGGCTTCCCCTCTCTCCTCAGGACCCCCACCCCAGCCTCTGGTGCGGGAAAGCCGCCCAGCTGTTTCTGATTCTTTCTTACTCGCAGCCCCGCCCGAGGGGGTGGGGGACCGCGGCTCTGGGGGAACCAGGGAATTGGGGGGAGGGCGGGGGGGATTACAGGGAAGACGGAGCCAGGCCGAGCCCGAGGCCAGGCCGTGAGGGCAGGCAGTCCGGGTCAGATCGGCAGGTGTGAGCCGTTTTTTTGCGTGGACCCTCGGGTTGTCCGGTCCCAGGCCAGGAAAACCCCAGGTTGAGGCTGGAGGGCTCGGAGCCGGTCCGGACGTGGGCAGAGTATAAACGCATCCGCGAAACGGGTCGGAAAAAATAGGGTACGCTGAGCCCTCGCTGAGGGACTGGCCTACCTGAAGCCGGCTGGTTGTCCACGCATCTGGGTAGGCAGTGTGGAAAGGGGAACTGAAAGACTCCCACAACTCCGGGTGGCAGAGTTTGTACCCATTTCTCAGAAACAAGAACGTGAAAGAGAGGGCCCGAAGCAATGAGTGCGTCCAGCACCCCTCCCCACCCCTTGCTCAACTCCCGGTGTCCCTGCGCGTTAGCTGGCCCCGCGCGCCTGGCCAGCATCCACCCAAGCGAGGGTGGCCGAATGAAGGGCGCTAGGACCCGGTGGCGCGGCCTCGGCGGGGACTGGGCGCTCGGGGCGCAGGAGGGTGCCGTGGGGCCCCGTCGCACCGCGCGCGGACAGGTGGGGGCGCGGCGCCGTGGCGCGCGGGAGCACCGAGGGGCGGAGGCGGCCGCCTCACCTAGGGCGCCGTGGAGCGCCCGGGGCTGGCGCGGGCGGAGCCGCCCTGAAGGCCGCGCGTGTCCCCGGCCTCGGCCCCGCCCCGCGCCGTCCAATGAGAGCCCGCGGCCGGAGGGGCCGTCTGCACACTCGGCCAGCAGCTCCACTCCGCGCCTCAGAAATCCCCCTGACACTGCACCTCGTGCTTGGGCAGCGCGCTCCTGCTCCCCGGGCTCGGCGCGCCGTCGTCGGTCCCGGGATAGCGCGACTTGCGCGCCCCTCTCCAAGACCCTGTACCCTGCTGCCAGGACTCCAGGTGTCCCTAGGTTCACCAACCGCCGATGACCTCCATGGCCCCCCAAGGGGGTGAGGTAGGAGCAGCCTGAGTTCCCCTCAACACACACCTCTTTCCCGCCCCCCAGACGGTGCCCTGTACACGCCCCTCCGGGCTGCGCGGCCCGAGTCTTCGGGGGAGCTATGCTGAAGCCGGGGGGTGCGCAGGAAGCCGCGCAGCTGCCCCCTAGGCGCGCCCGCGCCCCTGCCCCTGCACTCGGACCCGCGGCCCCCGACGGCTCCCCGGCTTCGGCCCGCCTAGGTCTTGCCTGCCTGTTGCTGCTGCTGCTGCTGGCACTGCCAGCCCGCGTCGACTCGTCCTGGTGGTGAGTGTGGTTGTTGGGGCCGGGCGGGTGAGGCGCGGGGTCAGGGAGGCCAGAGGCGCTGGCAGAGGACATACACACAGCTCCAGGCACCGGCTGTTTAGGGCATCAAGGTTGTTGTTTCGATGGTCCAGGGGCCGAGGCGCCACGTCTTACCGCCTTGAGTGGAGGGCGCCCAGCTTTTGCAGCGATCCTGGTGGTGGAGGCTCCCTGGGTCCCCAGATGCTGTGCCCCCTCTACTCACACCCGCCTAGCAGGGCGGCAACGCCCCTCTCAGACTGGGTTCAAGGAAGCCGCTGCCCTCCCGGGGGCACGCGGCGCCCGGTGCCAGGCTTAGAAGTGAGTTACAACAAAACTATTGAGTTTGTATAATCCGGGCGTTTGTTTTCAGCCACGGCTTTGAGTATTCTCTTGGAACCTAAGGTGGCCTCCCACCCCTCTTCTTTCTCTACCTCATATGACCCCATCTCCTTCCCAGTTCTTGCCTCCGACACCCAAGGGGCTTCTGGGATCCCAACGCACTAAGTCAAGGTCTCCTCAGATTTCTTGCAGGCCCAAGATCCAGACACTGCAGAGGAGGGCAGAGGAGGGCAAAGGCGTTCGCAGTCTCCCCACGCATAATGCCTCTGCCTGTTCTTTTCGGACCCCCAGGTCCTGGGTGATAGTCATCCTCTCCTGGATGAGAGGAAGGGGGAGGGAGAGATGGGCTGCTCCCCCTCCCTCACCTGGGGGAGGAGGGAAGCAAAGTGAGATGGTTGGGTGGGAATCTTCTTCACACTCCCACCCACCCGCCGACTGGCATGGTGGATGGCGCTATCCCGGGCTCTGCCATGCTGTGTCCCCCTTCCTCTGCCCTTCCTCCCTCTCAGCCAACACTCACCCACCCCACCCCCCTAACAACACCCCCGCGAAGTGTGGTCTCCTCTCCTCTCGCACCCTGTGGCTTTTCTCCTCCTGACTTGGAATCTTGGCTGGAAGGGTGAGGGGTAGCTGGCGCAGGGGCCGGCAGGCTTGGGCTGCAGATTCCTATCATTTCAAGATGCGGCTCTCTTCATCCCCAGCCCCCCTGTTTTCCTGTTTCAGAAAAATCTCTCTTTTGGATCTTTTTTTTTTTTTTTTTTTTTTTTAATCTCTGCAGTGTTGGAAAAGGCGGGGGGGGGGTGGTTGTGGATGGAGAAGTGGGGAGGTCTATATCTTACATCTGGCTTGAAACATTCCTTTAGAAAGGGAAAGGAAGCGAGGAGACTGCGGAGAAAATCCTTTCCAAGTTGAGAGGGCAGTGAGAACCGCCCTTCACCTTCACGGGCTGCTTGGCCAGCGGCTGGAGAGGGCATGGCGGCCTGTACTTATTGATTCATATGGCAGTTTACTCTTAGGGACTCTTCATTACTTCTTACCCATTTGAAGGCAGTCTTGGGGACTGACTCACGTTTTAGGTAGGTGAGGGCAGCAGTGGCATTCAGGCCATTTCGGCAGCCTGGTAGCAGCACCTGAAAACTCCCGGGGAGCCCTTCCCAGCCTCCTTTTTGTAACTTGATTATCCCTTCTTTTCTTCTTCTACTACCCTCCTCCCCCGTGGTTCATATTAAAGATTTGGGATGGACTCAGAGGAGGAGCAGCCAGGGAGGGGGTGGGAGTGGGCACTGAGCTTGTTTCAGGTGCCTGTGGTACACTTGTCACGGCGGTAGCCCTGGATGCCCACCCCAGGGGCCACCAGTTATGGGATAGATGAAGAGTGGCCTTCTAAAGGCAGATTATCACCTGCAAGGTGAAAAACTGTTTTCTTTCTGGAAGAGTAAAAAAAAAAAACAAAACCAAAAAACCAGCAGGACTGATGTTCTGTACAAGCCGCGGCAGAGATGCCTGGTGCTTCAGTGTTTCGCTGCAGAGCAGGCCAGGACCATCACAGCCTAGCAGCAGGATTGTCCTCACAGCCCGAGTCGTCCCCTTGCTCTCCAACCACTTGCCCCCACCCTCCATTTTACCCCTAACTGGAGGAGGAACTGGGTCATACTTAAGTCTGTAACAGACAGAATGAAACATGGGGCTCCTGACAGGTACCTCTCTATTCCATCCTGAGGAGGGCTGGTGTAGCAGCCACAAGAGCAGGACTGTGTTTATGGGCTCCAAAGGGAAGGAAACACAAAGTGACAGCATTTTTGTCACCAACAACAGCTGCCGCTTAGTGAGCCCTTACTAAGCTGTATCAGGCCCAGCACCTTAGGAGCATCATCTTCCCCTGCCCCCCAGATAATCCAGTGTGGCAGGTACTATTTTCTCGGGTCCACAGATGAACAAAGTGAGAGACAGGGAGGAGTGGGTAAGTGACTTGCTCCAGTCCCCACCAATGTGGAGCTAGCTCGGCTTCCTCCGGGGCGAAGAAGCTCTGGGTGCCTTTCTTGCCTCTGGAATGAAAACGAACTTGGACTTTGGCATCAGAGAGCCTTGGTTGCTGGACAAAGTGGGGTGCTATTATTTCATCTCATGGAACCTCAGTTTCTTTGCCTTTCACACAGAGGAATCATTCCTCCCCCATAGGATTTTTGTGCACAAAAATGTTTTGTTAACCATAAAGTAGTATAAAAGTGCTGTGGAAATTAAGATTCAGGGAAACTAATAGTTTTAGTTTTTTAAAAAGTTTTTTTCCCCCTTATTTAATTTGAAAGAGAGACAGAGAGATTTTACATCGGCTTGTCTGTAGAACCAGAAGTGGAGCAACTGGGATCGGAATCTGTTGCCTATATGGGATGACAGTGCCACAGTTGGAGACTTAGCCTACTGTGCCCATGGTGCCAGCCCTGGCTTTAATTTTTTAATCCCCATTTTCTTATGTCATGGGCTCAACCATGCATACTAGGTGATGCACACAAAAGGAGGGGAGAGAAGGGTTGTTGGAGTCTTTACAGGACACACACAAGGGCAAATTTCTGGAGTAGTTAAGATGCTGCTTAGGACACAAACAACACCTATCCAAACGAGTGGGTTTAAGTCCCAGCTCTGCCTCCTGCTAGTGTGTATTCTGGGGAGCAGCAAGAGGTAGCTCGAATGGCTGGGTCCCTGCCACACAGGTGGAGGGGTGAATTCCTGATCCACAGCTTCACCATGACTCAACTGGGGAGGGAACCAGCAGAGAGATCACTCTCCCTCTCTGTCAACATTTTAAGATGAAGAAAAGCGGCACAAACATAAAATCTCTGCATCCAGGCTGCCAATGCCCACAGGAGTCAAAGGGAGAGGAGGGTGGGGGATGAGAGTGGTCAGGTGTTCATTCCAAAGGTCGCTGAGCGCCCAGCAGGATGGAGGATACTGAAATGAACAAACAGACCAAAATCCCTGCCTGCGGGCATCCAAATCACTGTGGGGTCTTGGTGTGATACAAGTTCTGACCAGTGGGGCTGACCCGAGCCCTGATCTTTTGGCATTTCTAACAGATTTCCCAAGTGTCACAAATATTGCTATTGTAGGGAACCACAGTTTGAGTAGCAGGAAGCTAGATACAGTAGGGAGTGAGTCCCTTTGTCAAAAGCAATGTGAGTTGGTCAAAAGCAAGCAGGGAGAGAGCATTTTGGTTCAGGGAGCTGGGAGGGAAGTGAGGCGTTTCCAGAGCATGTACTGGGGCCACTCATGCTTGCACATCTCTGCCTGCACTGGCTGAGGACAGGGCCTGGCGCTTAGGACACCTTATATGACCATGTGTGGAACTGACCGGGAAAGGGGCAGACCCGGGCTCAGCTGTATGGAAGGCCCACATGCCGACTGCCAGGGGCTCACTACTGGACAATGGGCAAGGGCCACACCTTGCAGTCTTGAAGTGGTTCCTTAGTATGCCAGGGGTGATAGTAAAGGAAATTATCTTCCCATCTTTGACACTGAACAGATAGATGTTCCCACGCTTTCTGAGGCTGTAACAAAAAGGACCGATGTGGGCTGCAGCAGAATAGACTTAAGTCAGACCACAGGAAGGACTTTTGACCAGTCCCACTCCAGACTGTCTCATGAGGGCTGGATTATTGGTCTCCCATTCAACCACTCTCCTCTTCCCCACACACCCCCACCACAACCTCCTCCCAAGGCCCAGTTAAAAAAAAAAACAAAAAAACACCCATTGCTTAGAGCAGTACTCTGGGGCTGAACTGGGGAAGCAGAACAGTGGTGAGAGAGGGACGCGCTCCAACTCCAACCGTCTTGATTCTCCAAACAAAGAGCCGCGCAGTGGGTGTGACTCTGGGCTGTGCGTCAGGCAGCCCTTTCCGGCCTGGCCCAGGCCAGGCTGTTTATTTTGTTTGTTCCTGGAAGCTGTTGCCCTGATGGACAGTGCTGGGGCCGCTGATTCCATGGGATTTGTTAGCAGAGGGCCAGCCTTCTCATCCCTCCCCCGGGACAGATGGGCCCCATCAGCCCTGCAAGTTCCCCAAGAGGCAAGCAGCAGCCCTCCTGGTGTTTATTTGAATTGGTGTCACCACTGGTGATCCAGTCTGTGGGTGAGGGCTGCTGTGGGAAGGCAGTGGGGTTCAGGGGGCGGGGCCGAGGACACAGGAACGTCTAGCTTTTTCCCTCCTCCTAGCAGCTACTCTCCCTCCTCCTCACCCACATCTAGGCCCATTTTGGGGCTGGTCCCAAACCACAGGCTCATTTATAGCTCTGACCAAAGCTCTTCTGTCGTCAGCAGCAGCTGTTCTCCATGGCCCCCACCTGTTCAGACCAGAGTGTCTCTCTGCTGTGTTTCGGACAGGTGAAGAGGATTCTGCATTGGGGCTGCAGAGATAGGATGGGAGCTAGACGTGGAGCTGGGCTGTTGGGCTGGAAGAAGTGTGTTCGATGGGTCAATCTTATTCTGGAGCTCTTAGAGAACTCCTATTTCCTCTCCAAAATGGTCTTCCTGAGACTTAAACGGAGGCATCCAGGGCTAAGGGTGTTTGAAAGAAGGACAAATACAGCTTTGGGAAACTCAAGGGTGAGTCTGGCCTCCCACCTGTGCTTTAGTAGCACATCTCAACCATCTTGCAGTTGTCCCTCTCAGGCCGACTGCAGTCTGGAGTACGGGAAGGAGAATCACCCTGTTACTCTCTCTTGGCTTTTGATTTTCTACTCCAAACAGCCCTCTGCCAACCAGGACACTGTGCCTTACAGGTTGCGGAAGATGGTTTGGCTAGGAAAGGCCATGGGACCTGGAAATAAAGAGTGTGGGGAGGAGAGTCAGGAATGCAGTGTTCTTCCCCAGCCTTGAGGACTGGGGATAAGGACTTTCCAGTTCCACAAGTCTGTCTGGAGCTATAAACATGACTCAGAACTGCCCACTGTCTCTTTGAATCAGCCATGTAGGACGTGCTTCTTACATGTGGGTGGAAGAGTGTTGTCTCAAACCCTCGTCTTGTTAGTTTATTTATCCACGAGGCTGTTAGTGTTTATTAAATAAACAGGCAGTGACATGCCCACAAGCTTCTGTGTATGTGACACATGCTTGGCCTATGTTCTGGGAGTGTGCTTCACTTTGGCCTTTGGCTGCGGAACTGGTAATGGTGGGAATTCACAGCGGCACTTGCTCTGCAACTGCCTGTTTCTCCCAGAGCCATGGGGACAGTGGCGCTACACTGTCAGCCTTGGGATGTGGGGTGACGGGCAGGGATGGGAGCCCCACCCCCTACTGTTGCAGAGGAAGAGACAGGATGCTCTGACAGGGCCATCTCCACCTTGCAGGTACATCGGGGCTCTAGGCGCTCGAGTGATCTGTGACAATATCCCTGGCCTGGTGAGCCGGCAGCGGCAGCTGTGCCAGCGCTATCCAGACATCATGCGCTCGGTGGGCGAAGGTGCCCGGGAATGGATCCGAGAGTGTCAGCACCAGTTCCGCCACCATCGCTGGAACTGCACCACACTGGACCGGGACCACACTGTCTTTGGTCGTGTCATGCTCAGAAGTAGGGGCCCCTTCCACCCTGCCCCAGAACCTTCCCTTTCTGTGCTTGGGGCGGTGAGTGGGAAGGGCAGGAATGATTCTCCCCACTCCTCTGCTCTCCTCCACACTACTTCTCAGACAGATGACTGTTGGTAGAGCCCAGAATCCGGCTGGGAACAGACAGACCCTTACCACCTTAGATTCAGAGGATTTATAATCCTCTAAATCCCAGCTCTCTGGGATCATGGGACAGAGGTAATGCATTCCCTAGTACCTCCAGCTTTCTCCTTCACTTCCCTGTCATTCCCTAGCTGACCCCTAGCCTGGGTAGCTTCCATGTACCCTAAGGGCAAGGACTCTGTTCTTAATACCATCATCACTCTACCATCATCCTGATACCCCCAACTCTATGGTAATGGGAACAAGAGATAAACAGAAAGGTGATATGTAAATATTTGGAGTTAGTGGCTTGGCCCAGCTTAGCAGAAAAACTAAGCAGAGCTAGACAGTAAATTGGGAGAAAGGTTGGGAATCTGGAGGTGGCAGAGGTACAGGGGTGATGACTCTTCAGTCCCTGAGAGCAGGGAAGGAATGAAAATGAACTACAGAAGGCAGCATTGTGTCTCTTCAGACAGGCTGACCCATGGGCTGGGGTCCCCACTGTAGGGAACTGTCCAGCAGAGAGGGCCTGAAAAGGTGTGGAATGTGGATTCAGCTAGGCTTAGCTGTGCCAGTGCTGTCACTCATGGGGGCAGAGGGGAGAACCTGGGGAACTTGGAGGGAAACAAGAGTACATGGGCCAACCCAGAAAGTCAGAAGTGCAAAGAAGCAGAGAGAATCCCGAGGGCTGAGAAAAACAGCTCAGACACATAAGGGGATGTTCGTAGAAGGGAAGGGCACCTTGAATGCAAGGGACATAGTGGGTAGTGGAGAGGAGGGTAGAGTTCCAGGCTGCTTAGGGTAAAGAAAGGGACAAAAGGGGCGTCTTGCCTGCAGCTCACCCCGCCCCTTCTCTCTAGGTAGCCGAGAGGCAGCATTTGTATATGCTATCTCATCGGCAGGAGTGGTCCATGCCATCACTCGAGCCTGTAGCCAGGGTGAACTGAGTGTGTGCAGCTGTGACCCCTACACACGTGGCCGACACCACGACCAGCGTGGGGACTTTGACTGGGGTGGCTGCAGTGACAACATCCACTATGGAGTCCGCTTTGCCAAGGCCTTCGTGGATGCCAAGGAGAAGAGGCTTAAGGATGCCCGGGCTCTCATGAATTTACACAACAACCGCTGTGGCCGCACGGTTAGTACTCATATGTGTTTAAGCACATTATTTTTCCAGGGGGTGACCCTCATGTGGGAACATGGACTGAATGTCAAGGTCAAAGAGTGATGGCTTCTGGATGGCTTCTAAGCCAGGAGCACTAAACACAACTTGGCTCACCCAGGTGCAGTCTTCACATGGATAGAAAATAGGAAAGGGTGGAGAAAACAAAGGAAGCATTGGGAGGCAGGCACTGTGGCACAGCGGGTTAAATGACCACTTGGGAAACCCACATACCATAGAGTGCCTGGTTTGAACCTTGGCTCCTCTGCTTCCTGATAATGAGCTTCCTGATAATGAGCCGGGGAAGCAGATGATGGCTCTAGTACTTGGAGTCCGTGCTGCCCACGTGGGAGATCTGGACAACTTCTGAGCTCCTGACTTCGGCCTGGCCCTGCGCTGGGCTGTTGAGGTATTTAGGGAGTGAACCAATGAACGGGAAATCTTTCACACACATACTGCCTTTCAAACCAATTTTAGAAAAAGGAATTTTTTAAAGATTTTTATTGGAAAGGCATAGATACAGAAAGAAGGAGAGACAAAGATCTTCCATCCACTGGTTCATTCCCCAAGTGGCCTCAATGTCTGGAGCTGAGACAATCCTAAGTCAGGAGCCAGGAGCTTCTTCTGAGTCTCCCATGCAGGTGCAGGGCCCCAAGGCCTTGGACTGTCCTCAACTGCTTTTTCAGGCCACAAGCAGGGAACTGGATGGGAAGCGGAGCAGCCAGGACATGAACTGGTGCCCACATGGGATTCCAGAATATGCAAGACACTAGGCTATCGCACCAGGCCTAAAAAAGAAAGTTTAGGGACAGAAGAACACTGCTTTCTTACAGACTGAGAGATTTAGTTTGTTCTTGCTAGTTCACTGGCATCTGATCTGAGTGCCTCCTATGCATTTAGCTTCATGCTGAAAATGGTATATTACAAAAGTAGAAGTTATGGTAGCTCGTGCCGTCCAACTCAGGAAAACTAGAGCATGTGCGAGCCTACTGTAATCACCCACAGAATCCTGTGACTCCAAAGTCCAACGGGCAATCGCTTAGAGAGTGCTTTGCTGCAGGAAGATTTCCTAGAAGAGGTTCTTTAGCTTCAGGAGGTAACAGTGGATGAAATGTGCCATGGGGGTTCATAGTCAAGGCCAACAAGTCTCAGTGATGACTAAAAAGCATCCTGAGCAGCTGCCTTTCGCCCCCACCCCCGCCTTCCTCCAGGCTGTGCGGCGGTTTCTGAAGCTGGAATGCAAGTGCCATGGCGTGAGCGGCTCCTGTACTCTGCGCACCTGCTGGCGTGCACTCTCAGACTTCCGTCGCACAGGGGATTACTTGAGGCGGCGCTATGATGGGGCCGTGCAGGTGACAGCCACCCAGGATGGTGCCAACTTCACAGCTGCACGGCAAGGCTATCGCCGTGCCACCCGGACTGATCTTGTCTACTTTGACAACTCCCCCGACTATTGTGTCTTGGACAAGGCTGCAGGTGAGTAAGGAAAGCAGGTGGGAGCAGAGCTGTTGTGAAGTGCAAGTAACCCTGGTTAATTATCGTTAGTCTCAAGACTTAGGGAAGGGAGTGCTGTAGCAGGAGCCAGTCTGCTCCCAATATGGAAAGCTAGTCAGGAGATGGCTGACTTGCACCTCAGTCTGCTGGGCCAAGTGCTGTCCAGGTGAGGGCAGGGAAGCTTGGCAACTCACGGCCTGTGCTTATGTGTCCCAAGGGTCTCAGTCAAACTTTGAGTCAGCTGTTTTCAGTTCCAAGCAATGTGTGGGTTACACATAGCATAAGATTGTAGCCCTTTACAGTGCAATGGAATTGGTAGTAGACACATGCAATTGCAAAGACAGATGCCTGCAGAAATTGAGAGCTTTATTTGAGAATGTGGAATTTCCTTTGAAGGTGGGGATTATCTAGATAGAAGAGAGACAGATATGCCTGCACATGGGCAGAGTGGCAGGTGCAAAGCACATGACGAGCTGCAGGAACAGACAGCAGATCAATCTGACTTGAGCATGGGTTTTGGGGGGGGGGGGGTAACAGATTAGTTAGAAAGACACGGGACCAGTGCTGTAGTGCAGTGAGTTAAGCAGTCACCTGCAGTATTGGCATCCCATTTGGGTGTTAGTCTGAGTCCCAGCTGTTTCACTTCCGATCCAGATCCTTGCTAATGTGCCTAAAAGAGCAGCAGCAGATGGCCCAGGCCTTTGGCCCTAATGCCCACGAGGGAGATTCTAATAAAGCTCCTGGTTCCTGGCTTCAGCCTGGTCTTTGCAGCCATTTGAGAAGTGACTCGGCATACAGAAGACTTTCTCCCTACCCCACCTCCTCTCCCTCTCTGTAACTCCATGTTTCAAATAAATTAAAAAAAATAATAAGAGTTTGGGACCATACCACAAATGACCATGAAAGTTTATCTAGTATGTTACCATTGAAGATCCTATTTTTGTTTTATTTTTCAAAGTTTATTTATTTGAGAGGCAGAGAAAATACACACACACACACACACAGGAGAGACAGACCACTCCAGTCCCACATGGCGGTTCACTCCCCAAATGCCTGCAACAGGCAGGACTGGGCTGGGCTACAGCTAGGAACCAGGAATTCAGCCCAGGTCTCCTGTGTGGTGCCAGGAGCTAAGTTTCTTAAGCTATCACTTGCTGCTTCCCAGAGTCTGCATTAACAGGACGCTGAAATCAGGATTTGAACCTCTCTGGAATTGGAGGATAAGTCATGCGTGTTTATTTTTCTGAGGTATAAAATTAAGTCTTACAAAACCCAAGGCTGGACTATAAGGTGGGTAAAAATCACCTTGAAAAGGAGTATGGAACCAGACACTCTGGTATTGGCTGTGAGCATCTTCACCGTCATTGTAACTGCTAGGCTAAATGCCTTCCCTCCCTGAAGATTCAAAACTAAAATCAGGGAAGCCAGACAAGATTCCTGCTAGAAGCAGTAAAGCAGCAAATGGTTCAAGGTGTTTACGGTAGAATTCTTGAGGATGCTAGAAGATGATATGCTGTTTTCCCCATGGAGTATAAGTTATCATCCAGCCTCATATTTCAGGGTCAGATAGGAACAACATGCACTTCAGCAGAACTGCTTCCCTCCTGGTTAACTGCCACGGAGCCCCAGGGCTCTTTTCTGTGACTCAACAGTCAGGACCTGGGTAAGGAGGAGCCAGACATCTAGCTGTCTTTGGTTCTGTTTTCAAGCATCACTGTCATTCCTGGAGAGTCAAGTAGCTCCAAGCAAAACTGGGCACAGAAATAGCACAGAGCTTTACTTAAAGTAACAGAGAAAACAGTTTATGTGTATGTGGTTGTTCCCAGTAAAATGGCTGGGGGAGCCCCTGTGACTCCCCGAGGGATTTTCTGCCACGAGGTATGCTTTCCTTCCACGTAGTCTAATACAGAGCATCTGAGGTGTGAGACTATACTGCCACATCTAAGGTAGGATCTCTGGGTTGGAGGGTAAGTCATGTGTGTTGATTTTTCTCACAGGCATAAAATGAAGTCTTACAAAACCCAAAGTAGGGCCTGGAACAAAAGGGGATAAAAAAATCATCTTAAAGGAGTATGGAGCTAGGAATTCCCTCTAGAGCAGTACTATCCACCTGAACTTTATGTATCAATATAAATGTCCTCAGTATGGAGTAGCAACTAGCCACAGGTGATTCCTGAGTACCTGAAATACAGCAGTCTTTTTGTGTGGGGCATATGTTTTGAATTCTTGAAACCGTGTCTGGTACTAAACCCCATATACTATATATTTCCCCTGTGCACACATACTTAAGATACAATTTAATTTATAAATGAGACACACTAAGTAATCTGTAATAATGACTAATACTAAAATAGGATGATTTTAACAAATACTATAACAACATTGTTTAAATCTAATTAATTATTTATTTCTGGACTGAGATTGTGGGAAGCAAAACCACATAAAAGATGTATACTAGTACAACCAAGGAACTACATCTCATGGTGGGCAGATACTTGGTTGTACTCCCAGCTCTCCTCACTTCTGATGCAGCTTCCTGCCAGTGCCCCCTGGGAGGCAGCAGGTGATGGCCTGAGTGTGTGCTCAGTACCTGCTGCCCAGATCTGCACAGATCTTGGTTTTGGCCCAACTCTGGCTGCTACAAGCATTTGAGGAGTTAGCAAATGGTCTATCAAATTCTGACAATAAAAATTAAACTGAGATTCGAAACCAGACAATCTGATATGAGGGCTCTTGAGAATAATTTTTATTTATTTGGGCCTGGTACCATGGCCTAGTGGCTAAAGTCCTCACCTTGAACGTGCCGGGATCCCATATGGGCACTGGTGCTAATCCTGGCAGCCCCACTTCCCATCCAGCTCCCTGCTTGTGGCCTAGGAAAACAGTAGAGGATGGCCAAAAGCTTTGGGACCCTGAACCTGTGTGGGAGACCAGGAAGAGCTCCTGGTTGCTGGCTTCAGATAGGTGCAGTACTGGCCATTGTAGCCACTTGGGGAATGAATCATTGGACGGAAAATCTTCCTCTCTCTATATATCTGACTTTGCAATAAAATAAATAAATCTTTAAAAAAAGAAGAAAATAATTTATTTATTTGCTTGGAAGGCAGAAAGAGAATGAGCAAAACTGAGCAAGCTCAATCCTCCCTCCATAAATGGTTGCAACAGCTAGGTCTGGGCCCGGTCAAAGCCAGGAGCCCAGAAATTTATGTGGGTCTCTCACAGGGGTGGCAGGCACATTAGCAGGGAGCTGGATCAAAGGTGGAGCAACCAGGATTAGAACCAGCACTCTGATATGAGATATTGATGTCAAATGTGGTTTAACCCATTCTACCACAATGCTGGTCTGTAGGGTTTTTGATAGGCATGTTATACTTCTTCCCTATATAATTTGATTTAGATTTTTTTTATTAACAATTAAGGACCGGGCCCGGCGCAGTGGCACAAGTGGTTAAAGGTCCTCGCCTTGCACGCCCGGGATCCCATATGGGCGCCGGTTCTAATCCCAGCAGCCCCGCTTCCCTTCCAGCTCCCTGCCTGTGGCCCGGGAAAGCAGTCGAGGACGGCCCAAAGCTTTGGGACCCTGCACCCGCGTGGGAGACCCGGAAGAGGCTCCTGGCTTCGGATCGGCATAGTATCGGCCCGTTGCGCTCACTTGGGGAGTGAATCATCGGACGGAAGATCTTCCTCTCTGTCTCTACTCTCTGTATATCCGCCTTTCCAATGAAAAAAATAATAAAAAAATAAATCTTTAACAATTAAGGACCAAAATAATAGCAAATGGTAGAAGGATCCAACTTATGGCAAGACTCCTTTAAAAAAGGCTACTTTGTGTTAACTTTTTATTGTGGAACATTTCAAACCAAGTAGAGAACCCTCACCCAGCTTTAACAATGATAAACATTTCAAGGTTAGCTTTTCAAGAGGATATGAGAATGTGTACTGACAGGGAGGGAGCTGCAGGAGAAGTCAAAGGAAGAGATGAACCTGGCACTGAGAGCACTCAGCAGATGATCCTTTTGGCTAGTGGGTGTATTTTCAGAAAAAAAGGATTGCTCCCGCTCACACTCTGTCTCCTGCTGAGGATGTGGGTAGGGTTGCTGACAGCAGCTGAGGTAAGAAGAAACATGGTTCTCACTCCTTCTCTTCCCACACCCAGGTTCCCTAGGCACTGCTGGCCGCGTCTGCAGCAAAACATCTAAAGGAACGGATGGTTGCGAAATCATGTGCTGTGGCCGAGGGTACGACACAACTAGAGTCACCCGTGTCACCCAGTGTGAGTGCAAATTCCACTGGTGCTGTGCCGTGCGATGCAAGGAATGCAGAAATACTGTGGACGTCCATACCTGCAAGGCTCCCAAGAAGGCAGAGTGGGTAGACCAGACCTGAACACAGATACCTCACTCTCCTCTCCGTTTCAAGTCTCCCGACTCAAAAGCACAAGATCTTTGCATGCACACCTTCCTCCACCCTCAACTCTGGGCTGCTACAGCTTCTATTTAACGATTTGGAGAGGAATCCAGCAGGACCATGGTGTCCCAGCTGGTTCTTTAGCCCTGGGAAGGAGTTGTTAGGAGATACAAAGAACCGAGCGGCTCCCTGGTATCCCCTCTGGAGGTCTGAGGGGAGAGTAGAGGAGGCAGAGGGTCTACGGAGTGATACGAATTGCACTAAAGTACCTGGCTGAGGCTCATTTTTCCTTTCCTTTGTGCTGACTTCCTGATACTTCTTGGGTGGACAAGAGGAAAGGGACCTATTGAGAGCTGCTTTTTCACTCCTGCCTGAGGGTAGATGGGACAGAGATGACACTGCATGCCTCTTCCCTTGGAGACAGCCTGAGTAGACTGCCAGCTACTCTATAAGAAAAGTTTAGGCTATAACATTCCTCTATTATTTAGAGTTTGTGACTGCTCAAACAAGTTAACCATAGTGGACAAGGTTCTAGTCACATGCTCATATGTTTATAAACCACTGTGTTCTGTAGGAGGAAAAACCATATAGCTATATAAACACAACTTCATGTTCATACTCTGTTCCTCTGCCCTTTCCCACCTGTAACAGCACAGTTTTTGGTGTTCACTTTCTGCCTGTTCAAACTGAGGTGGCCAGCAACTATTCCCATGCCCAAGAAATCACTAGAAGACCCTGGAACACTCCTGTGAGGGAGTAATTTAGCATGTCTGGATAGATCATGGGATTTTTTTTCCCTTCCATGCATTATTTTAGAGGGTAAGTAGGTGTGGGTAACACTGAGCAATAGATAGATCACTCACGGACAAGTGGGAGAGACTAGCCAAGGCTGATCTCAAGTGTACCTAAAGAGGTAGGTACATTGGTAACTGCTTAGGGTAGGATCCCAGCCTTTCAAGCTGTGAATGCAAGACAATGGCTAGCCTTCAGAAGGAAAGCCGGGACTTGGGTTCAAAGTGGCAGATGGCTTTGAAGGCAACAGCCTTTCTTCCATTTACTCAGCAAATCTTCAGTGCCTCTAAAAGTCTTCATGAGCTGTTCATGCTACGTCTAGCTTCAGTAAAACAGAGCCTTCTGTGCTACAACCTGTTGACTAAGTTTGCATGATTGGAATGTTCAGTAAGATGGAGGGTAGGACGTGAGTCCCAAAAACCTTGATGTCCTATTTTTTTTGTGTCTGGACAGTGGTTATGTCTTGTAGAATTGGTACAGAGAAAACTGTAGTTAGGACAGCACTGAGTCGAAGTCACAGCTGTGTCAACATGCTGTTTTTGACATTTTAAACAGAATATTTAAATTCTCCAAAGCCTCTACTTTCCCAACTGTAAAATGAGAGTTCTGATTTGCTACAAATTCCAGCCAAGAAATACTCTTCCTAAAAGCCTTTGGTCTAGCCCGCCATGACTTCTCATGGAACCTTCTGTTTAGTACTGATAGCATTGATAGCTTACTGTCAAATAACGAGCCTCCCCAAGGAATTCCTTTTCCAAGCTCCTCTCTGCCATTGCTTGGAGTCCTCATACTGTGTGTGTGGAGCAGCTCCACTGTGCACAGGCAGCTGCGAAGCCGGGGAGTCACAGCTCTGGGCCATGGGGGCAGATTTATTTGGAGGATAGGACTAATATTTGTATAACCTGCTGAGACCTGTGTGGGAGAGTTTAGGGTGGTTTTTCTTTTGGTGAGGGGATTTGCTCTGGTTTCACATCCATTAACACAAAACATGAGCTAGTCAGGGCCCTTGTGGTCTGCGGTGAGGGAATGCCTGTGGAGAAATGGGATGGAGTGAGTCAGGCCAAGGGAATGTCTTCCTAGCAAAGTGGAGTCAACTGGATAACTGATGAACCAATGGTGAGATTAGGGAGGGGGGAATGGAAGGGAAAGTAGAAGAGCTTCTGACGTGTTGAGCTGGGATGAAAAGGAAGAAAGTGTGGTGGGGAGGTGAGATGGTCAAGAGCAGTCTGAACTTAAGAACAAGGATGAATGAATTGATGAAAGGATGTGGCTGTGGGGAGGAGCCTCAGGTCCCTGTCAAGCCCTGCTGTTACAGGAACATTTGAGTTGTTGGGTAAATGATACACAGGTCATCCATGGGAAATCAACTTGAGTACAATCCACCTGTTCCTTATTATCTATTCTTTATTGGTGCTCACCCTGTGGAAAGAAATGCCTCTTAGGGCATCTCCTACTGCTGTGTGTTTTCCTGGGTTCCAGTTACTCTAGCTCATAAAGATCATGTTGTGCAATTTCCCATGAATGGTCAAAAGAGCAGCCATTTGTAAGATTTCCCGGAGAATGAGAAGTTTGAAATGTGAGGTAGGTAAGTGAGAGAAAAGATGTCCATTTGAGCCTAGTCTACTCCAGAGTCTGTGTGACACCAAGAAAGAATGACGACCAATTAATTAGTTTGCTTAGTCCTTAGCTTGCCTCTGCATTCCGACTGGCTTTAGTCCACTGGCATCCATTCTTTACTACACAAACAGAGACTAACGTATTTGGAACAAGCAGCAAAATGAGAACTTTATTTGGTACAGTCGACACTCCATTTAGTTCTGCTGCTCTTCCTCTACTCTGTCTCTGACATGGCTCCTGTCCCAATCCTCTCGTATATGATGGAGGCTGTCTTTCAGATTAGGAGTGTCTTAGCCTCTCTTCCACTTCTTTCTGCTGATCTTTATTTCGTATAATGCATGCAGTAAGTGTTATTTGGACACAAAGTGAAGCTAAAAGATATTATCTCTGTCCTTTAAGGATTTTAGAATTTTTTAGAGAAGGCACATGACTGAAGTGCCTCAGCTGCATAGCCTCTAGCCAGTTTCTGTTACGTAAGAGTGCCAGCCTTAACCCTGCAGGGAAGAGCCCTGAAGAATGGCACTAATCCACACCCTTACTCACAGTGATGCTGGAAAAATGAAATCAGGGATTTTGGCTTAATTAAAGGAATCAGAGGTTGCCTGGCCTGGAGGTTCTGTTTGAAAAGTCTGTAGGTCTAACTGTGAATGCTCACAGCCTCATTTCTATCCTCCCTATTACAGAGAATAATTTCTTCCCCTTTCTCTTGGTTCCCTTATCAAGAACACCAACCACTGTGTTCTTTGCCAAATTCTCAGACCCACTCAGGACTAAGTTTCTACATGGCTTAATAGAAGAGAGATAATCAAGAATTTTTTTCCCCTCTCAGCCTTCCTGAAGTTTTTATTTAAATGCTCTAGTGGTCAGAGGGCAGAAGCCCAAGCTAGCTGCAGAGAAGGGAGGACGCCAGGGAGCGTATGTTTCTCATCCCTGGGAGGCATTCAGCCTAGCTCCTGTAGCCAAATTACAGCACCAGAGAACAATGTGATGCATTCCTGGGCAGGTCGGTGGGACCCTGGGCGCAGGGGCCTTGTGGAGAGAGGTGCCAGACACAGAGCTCTCCGTAAGCAATCCTGCAGAGCCGCCCCCTGGGTGCAGAAATGAAATACGGGAGAGCTTCACATTACACAGAGACCTGTAGCTCACACCTGGTTATTGATGGCCTTGGTAGAGGCCTCTGCCCCTTCCCTCCCCCCTGGAAACTGCCTGCTACTACGGGGGTTGGGCATCTCTGAAGCAGTGTTGGAAAGCAAGACAGAGGTGCTTCCTTTTTCAGTTTCTGCCCTTCCTGTCAACCCAAGTACAGCCATAAAGATACACACAGAATGCACACATATGATGTACCACTCTCAGCTACATGCGACCACTCTTAGCTACATGGAACTAGTAGTATATTCTCCCCTTCAACAACAACAACAACAACAACAAAAAAACAACTAAAATTCAAACAGTATTCCAGAAGTCATACTGACAACAGGGTCTTGTTATAACCAAGGAATATTTTAAAGCTACACTGTCAATATGCCGACAACTGGAGGTGGCAATATGCCGACAACTGGAGGTGGCAGGGAAGGATACAGAGAGGGCATAGATAGAGGAGATCAATGGTAGAGAATGATAATCTAAGCAAAGCTGCCACAACAATGTAACCTGTCAGACATGGTTCCTGCTGGGGACAGGGAGATGCACACACCCTGAGTACTCTAAATGACAGGACAACCTTGGATGATTGCATGAAGGATAACTGCTAGGCCTATTGCTCATGACCTGTCATGGCTGTTGATTTTTAACTCTTACTGGGATCCTGTGGATTTTAGAGATGACTGCCATGAAAGAGAGGTAACAAGAGACCAAGCGGTAGCTCTGCTAGGGTAACTATGTCACAGCTACTGCACAGAACTGAGCTTTCCCAGAAGCTGGCATTCTCTTTGGGCGCTCAGTAGGTTTCAGGCACTAGCCAGTAGAGTTTCTGTAATACTCAGATGCCTGTCTCTGATCCCAAAGTTAAAAGGGCTGGAAGAGACAGAGTTCATAAGTTCATTTCCCTGTTTCCAGTCATGGCTTAAATTATCTCGGAGCATCTCTGTGGCTATTGCTCACTTACTTAAGATGTTTTCAGTCGTCCTGGATTTAAGAATGCAAGATAAGCATTCTTCCCTTGGCCTTCTAACTCAGAGCTATTCTGGATTTCAAAATGCCTTTCCTCACTTTCATTCTGTCCACAAATCCGTGGATGGAACAGTGGGACATGGGAGTTCTTGGCCAAAAGAGGCAAAATCTAATGATTCGCCTTCATACCATGGGGCCCTGTAAGTAATCCTGAGCAAAGTGCAAAACTAAGTTGAGGGAAGGGAAGAGAAACACAGCAACATCCATAGTTGTCCTATTTGACAATTTCCAAGGTGGAGCTTACCCTAAGAACAACAACGATGTTCTTAAAACACTTTGAAAATAATTTACAAAATATTTTAATAATGTAATCCTCAACAATCCTGTGAGGTAGGGGTTAATATGCTATTTAAAGAGGTGTAGTGATTTGTCCAAGGTCATATGAACAGTGAGTCAAAATTGAAAAACATTCTCTGACCTAAAATTTGTGTCTTCTCAAAGCCTGAGAATGCCCAGGGTTGAGAGTACCACAGTACCACCAGCATCTTCAGAATAAAAACCAATATAAAGTATTTAAGGCCTGTGGGAGTTCCAGGACCACCAATGGGGTAAACCTAAGCTTTTTACAAAGAGAAGGTCTAGATTTTACTGGACCTCATCAATAAATTCCCTTTTTGTCATTTCTGGCATGATCACCACCTCCACTGAGTGATCACTACATAAGCTAGTCCACACTTACACAACTCTGGCTCCTAGTTCTTTCAAATTCCCCTTCCTTATCAGCCTGGCCTTTAGACTAACATTAAAATTTTGTTTTAATTTTGTCAAATTCCTTTAATGTGATGCTAAATGTGTAGACAGAGTAGCAGTAATCATGAGAGGCCATGAAAGGAAGTTATTAAGACACTGGGCTTTCAAGGTATGTTTCAGAATTCCCTTTGAGACTTTTTTTTTAATGCTGTCAACCCAAGGGTTGAGAACATAAAAACAAAGAAAAGAGGGCTAAGAAGCTGTCCCTTTCCAAGCAAGACACCTACTCTTAGCCTAGTAAAACCGTGGGGCCACTGGCCGAGACCAGTAACTCATCTACACCAAGGCAAGGGGTATCTATCTTTCAGGGAAACTCCTGCAAAATGAGGCAAGCCTCAGATTTTTTACTTGATCAGAAACTTGTGCTGCTCTCAGTCCCTCCTCCTAGCCTCATTCAAAACCTGAACTTCCATTTAGGTACAAAACAGTGAGGAAAA